GGTGTAGGTGTAATTTCCTCAAATTATTATGGCATGGGGTTGAGCCCAGAAGTTTGGTCCACATTGGGCTCTGCCCCTGGTCACTCGTCACGATCTTTTAAATTAGGTTTAAATGTTTCATATTTTATTCTAACTCATCAATAAAATACTCGATTTTTAAAAAGTAGTTAAAGTATATTACTGAAGTGACATATGGGTGTAAAAAATCCTTCCTTTATGGTAATTCTCTACACCATTTCATGCAAATCTTCAAAAGTCACTTAGTCGTCACAAGTTCATTAATCATACCAATCTTTGTAAAAAATCTTTGTATGGAAGTTATGCATGGTGGTAATCCTCATAATTTGCCTCTAGACCTAACTTCTGCCAAACAACAACAATTTAGCTCAAACTCCTCAACTAGCAAATAAGAAATTTAGGTTCTCAATACGCATGAAATACTAATTTAAAATCAATGACCAGATAGTGAAAAATGAAAATCAGTGTGGACGTTATGTACGAACTTAATTCTTAAACTTTCATTTAGACCTAACTTCTACTAAAACTCCACAGTCAGTTGTCACTCTTCTGCAAACCACACTAAAATCTATCAACAAGTAAATAAGAAAATTAAGTTTACCTTGAATACTTTATAATGGTATCAAGAACACTTCCACCAAAAGTACTGAAAAACTAAATTAGTGAAATGGTTCAACGTCAAAATTTTATTTTATTTTACATTTTTTGGGTGTCGTCCATCATTGAATCCTCAATTGGTTCACTGTATACTTATAGAACGTCAACTTGTAACCAATGATAAGATAGTATGAAATGAAAACCAGCACAATGCAAGTCAATAACTCGATTATCTAAATATGGGCATATATCACATAAGCGTCAATTTTCTTCCTAGTAACCAGAACAAATAAATAAATGGAAAAAGTTCCTCTCAAGCCATGTAATTTTTAAGTGAATACTTGCCTTGTTTGTATCTTTCGAAAGTTCAGGTTGTAAGAGAACTTATAGAAGATTGCTTTATTTTATACTAAAAAGAAAAGCATGATGGGTTGGGGGAGGCGAGGGGGGCTGAACATTAATTTGCAGTTTCGAAAAGTAAATAGAAACATTGAACGTGACAAATGAAATTTTGGTTCATTGCATGTATCCCAAACTTTCGTAATAATTATGAATAAAGAAAGAGGAAAAAGACCCACTTGAAAACAAAAGATGTGCACAAGATATAGCACCTCACACCCACACATTTCTTCATATTCTTGCATTGTTGCGTCAACCCACCACACTTTTATCTCCTCTTTTCTCTCTCCATTTTTTTGCCCTATTCTTGATAGGGTTCCCAAATGACTTCTTGCCTTTGATTTTTCGCTGATGCATTCTGTTCTTTTTCTGATCTTGCTGATCGTCTTCTTCTTGCTTGATCTGGTCATTTTTGCTCTCCTAAGAGGGTTTTTTGGGCTTCTTCGCTTCAGATTTGACTTCCCTTGGATTGTCACACTGTTCCCATGTCTAAAGTCTTCAATTTCAATGGTAAGATCGCTAATCTTTTCTGGGTTTTGCTTAAATTTTATATCTTTACTTGATTTCTGCTGAAACCTATTTTTTAGTCTTTTAACGTTTTTAATTTGGTTAAATCTTGTATTTTCATGAATTACATATATCTGTACACTTTCATTTATGGCCATGCTTAAAATCTTTGTAGAGATGTTATTATCTCAAAATTTGTATGGGTTTGACTTTAAAAAAGTTTATCAATATAAGTTTTTTGTGCCTTTGTTTGATTAAAACTTGTTATGGTCTGTGAAGTATCTAATATTTAATTATGTTTACAGTCTTTGATTACGGTGGTATGATCTCAATTTATATGTGGATCTCTCTTAGGTATATGGCTCTAGACTTACCGGCCTGTACTTGTGCCATATTTTTCATGTCGTTTCAATATTTTTTTGTCTATATCGATGCTTAAAATATTTACTAGTGGTATCGTTCTCAAATATTTGATGAGTTACTGATAAAAAGATGGAAATGAAACTGATGCTTAAAAATTTATCAGTAACCATCAACAGGAAGATACAGTCTTTCCATTCTTAAGTTATATTTCAGATATGCTATGTTCTTTTTGTGATAACTATCAAATGTTGAGGGTAGTGTGTTAATTCGTATATTTTTTACAGACATGTACTTTTTTTTTTAAGTGTAATATTTTCATGTGTGTGTGTATATATATATATATATGATCGGGATAGTAAAATCATATGTTTGTGGTTACGTATAGTTGCTTGATGTGCAACACATCTGAGTCCCACATACTTATAAAGGGAATGTGAAATTTGTCAGATCTTTCATTAAAATTTAAAAATATTGGCTGATGTTGGTTTCCACATCTTTAATTCAGGAGATGACGATTTTTTCCCTGGGGGATTCTTATACCCGAATAATAAGGAATCGAGTCTCTATTTGTCCCTTGGTCATCGTGTGGACATGTTTGTTCCTCCTCGTAAGAAGTCTCGTGTCAATGCCGCGGTCGTTGTCAGCAGAGAGCAAAAGCAACAGTCATCCATTGAAGTTCTTCCTGACGAATGCCTCTTTGAGGTGTTCAGACGCCTTCCTGGAGGCCAAGAGAGGAGTGCCTGTGCAGGAGTCTCCAAGCGTTGGCTTATGCTTCTAAGTAGCATTCAGAGGGATGAAAGATGCAATAATGAAGCCACTCTATCTGTGGAGCCTGAGAACAGATCTAATATTAAAAAGGCAGACGACTCCATGAAGCCAAAAGATAAGGGTGGATTTGTTGAGTCAAATGGAATCAGAGCTGAAGTTGAGGAGGAAAACTTAGAGACAGATGTTGATGGATATCTTTCTAGATGCCTGGAAGGAAAGAAAGCTACTGATGTGAGGCTGGCTGCCATTGCTGTTGGAACTGGAAGCTGTGGAGGTTTGGGCAAGCTATCCATCCGAGAAAGCAGTGCTACTCGTGGATTGACAAATTTTGGCCTCAAGGCCATTGCTCGTGGTTGTCCTTCTTTGAGAGAGCTTTCGATTTGGCACTCATCATCAATTGGTGATGAAGGGCTACTTGAGATTTCAAATGGCTGTCATCTGCTGGAGAAGCTTGACCTATGCCATTGCTCGGCAGTTACAGACAAGTGTTTGCTTGCTATTGCAAAGAACTGTCCCAATCTGGTGTCAGTTACAATAGAATCTTGTTCAAACATTGGAAATGAAAGCTTGCAAACTTTGGGACGTAGCTGCCCCAATCTGAAATCCGTTACTGTTAAAAATTGTCCTCTTGTTGGGGACCAAGGAATTGCAGGTCTATTTTCGGCAGCTGGTAAAGTTATTACAAAGGTGAAGCTTCAGGCACTTAACATCAGTGATGTGTCTCTTGCTGTAATTGGACACTATGGCAGTGCAATGACTGACCTTGCACTAATTGGCCTCCAAAATGTGAACGAGAGGGGCTTCTGGGTCATGGCTAGTGGTCAAGGTTTGCAGAAGCTGAAGTCTTTGGCAATAACCACTTGCCGAGGAGTTTCTGATTTAGGGCTTGAAGCTATTGGAAAAGGTTGCCCAAATCTGCGTCAGGTTTGCCTCAGAAGATGTCTTGTATCAGACAGTGGATTAATTTCTTTTGCTAAAGCTGCAGGGTCACTTGAAAGTCTTAAATTGGAGGAATGCCACAGGATTACCCACTGTGGGTTTTTTGGCATCTTTGCAAACTATACTGGGAAATTGAAGGCTCTTTCTTTGGCCAATTGCTTGGGAAATCAGAACATGAACTTTCTATTTTCATTGACATCTCTTTGCTATTCACTTCGATCGCTGACCGTCTGCAACTGCCCTGGATTTGGTAATGCTAGCTTGGCCATGGTGGGTAGACTGTGCCCCAACCTGACTCATGTGGAACTCATTGGGCTTCAGGGAATAACTGATGCTGGGCTTATACCTTTTGTTCAGAGCTCTGAAGGTGGTTTGATAAAGGTTAATCTTAGTGGATGTGTCAATTTGACCGACGATGTTGTTGCAACCATTTCTAAGCTGCATGGGAGCACTCTCGAGATTCTGAATCTTGAAGGCTGCAGATTCATCACTGATGCAAGCCTGGTGGCAGTTGCAAGGGATTGCTGGCTGCTGAATGAACTTGATGTTTCTAGTTGTGGAATCACTGATTCTGGCATTGCAGTCTTGGCTGGTGCCAAGCATCTGAATCTGCAGATACTTTCCCTGGCAGGTTGCTCTTTGGTATCTGACAAATCTGCACCCGTATTGATGGTTATGGGCAAGACATTGGTGGGGTTGAACATCCAGCATTGCCGTGGAATTAGCTCTGGTGCTGTTGATCTGCTTGTTGAGCAACTTCGGAGGTGTGCTATACTCTCCTAAGCAGCTGGCAGTTGGAAAGTCCCATTCAAGCCACAGATGGTGTGGTATATCACAAAGTTTTACTACTTCAGTATAGCTCTTGGTTTTTAGTGTGTCGTTTTTGGGCCCATAACCATGGGTCTTCATATGGTTCAGTGTTCCAGTCCTTTTTTCCAGTAAGGTGTGGCCAGTTACTCTTCTTTATTTTTGCAGCTTTTTTTCCATTAGAAAGCTGTTCCAAGAAGTTTTCCCCTTGGTGAAGGGAGCCAGTCTGCATAATGGTCACACTTAGCTGAGAATATAGACACTGGGTACTGGATTCTTATATACTTCTAGTGGTCCTACTACTATGTTTTCAGCTTCTGGCCTAGCAGTTGTTACTTCAACTTGCTCGGTCTGAGCTTGTTACTTTGTCAAGTCACCAAGTCTTCCATGTCGCTGCATGCTTACATGATGGTTGGGTTTGATTCCGTCAGTCGGTCTGTGTTTGTGGTTGCTTTTGGCAGTCGTAGTTTTGTAACCTTGCTTTCGTGGGCTTTGTCCGTGGCAGAGTTGTTTAGTCTGCCATGACAACCCTTTTGGGTTGTTTTTTCTTAACGAAGCCCTAGTTTTGCAGGTTCTTTTGTTACCGACTGTCCCGAGTAACCTTCTTGTTATGTAATACTCCAGGAAAATGCTTACTTTGTTGCTAATAAAAAAGCTTTCGAGAAGCTTTATTATGTATCCTGAATGTGTGCTTACTCTTGTAGTCTTGAGCTTCTCCTTAATTCAAGTAATTTGAGCTAGTGTTTTCATATGCTTAGGCTTGCCAATTTCCAACTTGAAAGTGGGATTGATTTGAATGTTCTAGCGGGGCTGCTAAGAAGATCGAATTGCATGCCTGTATCGCAAGTTTAATGTTAAATATTTAATATTCTTTCTTCATACGTAAAGATGAAAGGTAACAAGATTAAGAAAAAGATAGTGTAGGAAGCTCAACAGACAAATTCAGTACACCTTGGCTAATAAAGGAGGATACAAATTTGTTACGAGTCCAAAGCAATTGCCAAATTAAAATTTCAACGCCGAAAAAATCCACTTCCAACATCAGGTGGAAGGGATTGAAACGCAACCAAAAACGACATACCAAGCCTGCAATGCCCTTCAAGTCATATAGACTCTTAATGGATATTTATCATTTTGTATTGCTGCTAATTTAGCATTCACGCTTCTTGAGCTTCAACAGCAGGCTCATGATCTGCCCGTAGTTCACTTTCGCTTGAATGGATACTTTCGCAAGACGATATGCACTTGGGATACTTGGTGCATACCAAGCAATATTTTATCCTTATTTATGATTATTTACTCTGATTTAGACGTCTGTCTGTAATTCTAAATGTGAAATAACTATTTACCGCTAAACTCTTGGTATATTCAAATTATCAACTCGAGAAATTCGTCCTAAAGTATGTGTCATAGGCGACCACACGAGTTGATCTAACAGGTTATAGTACCGGAACTATTTTTTATCCCCAGCAACATGAAGTGTGATAATTTAGAACCTGTTTGGCAACAATTAAATTCAATTACATTACATTAAATTTTTCTCTCTCTTCATTACAACCACACATTCATCAAATAAAATAATATTACATACAAATCTAAAACTTTTCACTACTTTTCCACCACACATTCTCCCATTAATCACTATTCCAAAAATTTTCAACCATAAAACATGCACAATAATAGGGGCGAAACAGGAGCTTAATATTTTGGGTATAATTGTTACACATGTTCACATGGTGAATCTAAATTGAGTAATTTGTGGGGGACTACACGAGACTCGGTTTAAATAGAGTTTTTGTACACATATTTTTGTCCCTTCAATCATTGGAAGGTTAACCCTTGTAACCTTATTCATTTATTTCTACGCGCTAGTGCACAAAGGCTCAACTTGCCCTACTAGATAGCATGTTTAACCTTTTAAAATACTTTTACATTTAGCAATTGACAAAAAAAGTTGTAATAATTTCCGAACCCTAGTTACACTTCTACTCTTTTCACCCAAATAGAGCTGTTGTATGGTGTTTAATCTAAAAGGTGTAAAATTCTTCGAGCAATATCAAGTTCAATTAAATATGAATATAATTTTCAATGACAGCTTATAATCTAATCTAATCTAATCTACCCATACTTTTGAAGAGGAAATTTGTTATTTGGACATTATGCAAAAGATTTTACTTTTACTTTTACAATTGATGGAAAACTCTCTAACTAGCACTGCGAGTGAATATAACTTGTACACAGTGTACAAAATTCTAGAGGCGATTTGATTTGTGAATTTCGAATTTGAAACAAATACATTTGCAGCTATACTTATCGTATAATATTTGGCGAAGGATGCTTGCACAAAACATTTCCTAGTGGTCTTTGATAATGAAATTAGCATTGAAAACTCAATTCGCATTCCACCAGTAAATGATTGAAGCATTATTTTAAATTAATGTATCAAACTTTTCTCACTTGTCATTTGTTCTTAAAATTAGGTGACACTTTAATGTAAAATGATGTGTCAATCATTTTTTGATGGTCAACAGATCTCAACTCCATTTTTCAAAAGTTTATTTTTGTCCAAACTCATTTTCAACTATACATTCTCCAATAAAATAATTTTACATGTAAATCTAAAAATGTTTTTCTCTACTTTTTAATCACACATTATCCAAAAACTCACTATTACAAAATCGATTTTCCAATTGGTCAAACAAGAAAAGGCATCCACTTAGCTTTATTATTTTCAAAATGATGGGAATTCCGTATAGCTTTATTCTCAAGAACATAAAACTCAAAACCATTACCAAAAAGTATTTTGGCTAAATTTCAAAACGGGTCCTTGACCTTCGTGAGCTTGCTTCTTGTATACCTAAGATCTCAACCTACCTTTTGTTACATCCATGTTCCTATTCTTTTTAATATGTGAAACCCATTTCTCAATCCTGAAGACATGAACACCATAGTTTAAACAGTTAAGGGGATAAGTGCATCAAAAGATAAGTTGGAGACATGAGTGCTAAGCTCACAAGAGGGATAGATGCCCTTGCATCTGTCAAACTATCTGTACAAACGAGTACAAAAATTGAGTCTACTAACCTGGAATGATATTGAAAGAAACTAGACGACCAAAGTTAATTCAGACTTCAGTCTGCATTCAATTCTCGGAAGAAAAATCAAAGGAAAGGCCAAAAAAAAAAACTACTTTGCCCACAAGCAATGGAATTTGATCAAATATAAATAATTGTATTTCGCAAAATATCAAGGTTAATAGTTGTGATTTTTGACAAACAAGTACATTTGAACCCATACATGTAACATTGACTCTATTTGCTCTTGACTTCTGTGTATACTATTTTTTGCTTTCATTCGAGATTTCCTCGTCAGATTTTACCGTCTCCTCGATCCGTATCAATACAATCATTGACTCAAGCGTTACAGTTGCTAATGACACCAAGGTATGGCCAAGTTATATAGAGAATCATTGACTCAAGAACGTTACAGTTGCTAATGACACCAAGGTATTGCCAAGTTATATAGAGGCTGTGAGCACCACGAACTGTATCAATACAATCATTGACTCAAGAACGTTACAGTTGCTAATGACACCAAGGTATTGCCAAGTTATATAGAGGCTGTGCGAAGTACCATTCCTTTCTAAGAGTATCAAGCAGATCTTTTCCATTTTGCACCGGTATTTACAAGCTTAATATAGACATTCTTAAAATCTTCAAAGAACAAACTCTGATCGTTGGCATACTTCGAGATCCACCTGCGCACCAAACAACTAGGGGAAACAATTAGTAGGCGAATATCTAAGACCAATTCAGAAAGAAGAAAACAACCCCATAGACAGATGCAGTTGCAAAAAGTACAGTCAGTTTCTACTAATTTGCAGAGGGTTAATTTGGATGGATCCACAAGACTCGCCGTTTTTATACAAACATAAACTGGACATATTTAAGAAGAATATTACTCCAAATTACAAAAACTATAAATTACGATTGTGTCAGCATGTAACCTCTATTAACATATCATAATAAACCAACTAAATGTGTTCGTCAGTGTGTCAATTCTGAACTTCAATTACAGTAAGTTTACCTGACTATAATCAATCATGAGAGTAGATATATGATGATGCGGACATCAATCATTGAGATTTAGTTTTTATTGTTATTTGACCTTATTAGTTATGTTTTATATTATTGGGCTTGTAATAGCAGGTTGGCCAAAGCCCTTCAAGTTAGGTTTTTTACTATTTATTGAATTTTTCATTGTTGATTGAATTAATGATTGATTGAGTAAAAATTGCATTGGCAGCGGTGACGTCTTCCACTCTTTTCTCCCGTTTCTGCTTCTTCTTCTCTCTATTGTGCTCCCGTTTCTTCTTTTTCTTCTCTCTTTTCTATTATTGAAATTAACCCCATTGATTCCACATCAAATTTGTATCAAAGCTAAACCTAGATTCCATCTTCAATTTGCACCCGAGAACACCCAATTCCCTTCTCTGCGTGAACAACACCCAACTCCACTTCTCTGCATGAATGTCGTCCACCATTTTCGTTGCTCCCTCATCTAACTTAGAACCGTGAACTTCACCCTTCTCCTCAAAACACTCAATCCCAATCACCTTCGACTAATCAGTATCTAAAGATGAAGATACCGCAACATTGTCCGCTGGTCCACTATTTCTAGTTAATTATAATGTATTTTTCAGTTTCGCCCTTGCAAAAATTTTGACTCGCCCCCCCAAAATTTTGAATTTTTTTTTTCTATTAATAAATATTGACCCAATAACTCACACTTTAAAATTCAACAAAAGCCTAAATCCAATCCAAAATCATACAAAAATCATACTTAAGTATTGACCCAATAACCATACAAAAATCTTAAACATAAACAAAAGATCAAATAGTTACTTAAATAAATAAATAGCCCAAATCCAATCCAAAAGCAAATGAACCATTTATGAATCAATTATCCAAAAGCATACCCACAGGCTTTCGAACCATCACTAGGTGGTTCATCAATTAAGTGATTATCCATAGCAATACTCCGCAAATACAATCTAACAGTTTTACTCCAATCCAAATAATTAGGTCTGTTAAGTCTATGTTCCGTAATTTTTGACATCATAGGAATAACATCCGATACAACTATAGAATTCTTATCCTTCATTTATCAAAAATCAAGCAAATAATAAAGCAAAATATCACAACAGAGTTAAAGTATTTGAAGAACCCGAACCTGAGCAAAGACTTAAAAATTTCAAATAACGAAGTTGAAGCCTATATCTTCAACCAAAAGCCCCAAGTCTGCAATTTTCAATATCCAGATTCCAAATAGCAAGCCCAACCAACTCCCAAATAAATGGGCTGAGAATGAGAACACGTCCCAAACCACAGGCCGAAAACGAGAACCCCAAAGAAGCTGAAAATCCGTGTTGGACGGCGGACGGAGGTTGAACGACGACGGGGACTCCTCTGGTGCAGGATGTGACGACGGGCGACCCTCCTGGTGAAGGCGGCACCAAAAAAGGG